CCTTCTCCCTCCTCATCCTCCTCTCCTCCTCCTCCTCCTCCTCCTCCTCCTCCTACTCCTTCCTCCTCCTCCTTCCTCCTCTTTCTCCTTCTATTCCACGATTCGTCTCGTGACAACGCCGCGGGGGCCAACAACAAATACTAAGCCACTCCACGCGCCACATGCCAACGCCTGGGGGCGCGAGGAGACATTGTTCCATCCACTCTTCTCGTCACGTGGCAGCGCCACGGGGGCAGGAAAAACCAATTATTCCACTCCTTTCGTCACGTGGCAAGGCTGCGGGGGCCGACAACGAATATTATGCCACTCCACTCGCCACGTGGCAACGATTGGAGGCGCGAAGAAACAATATTCAGTTATAAGCGTAACGTGGCTGCGCCGCGTGGACAGAGAAAATCATTACGCCACGACGACGACTAGGACGACGACGAGAACGACGACGACGAAACTGACGAAAACGATGACGAGGGCCAGGGAGGCGAACAACAATTCTATCCAATTCTCCTAGTCCTTCTTCCTCTCTCCTCCCTTCTCCCTCCATCCTCCCTCCTTTCTCCTTCCTCCCCTTCCTCCCTCCTCCCCCTCCCCTCCTCCCGCCGCCTAACCTCACTCCTCCTTCCTCCCCTTCTCTATATACCTTCCTCCCTTCTCCTCCCTCCTGTCGTTTCACTCGCCCGCAATTTCTTGCAATGCAAAGTATTGCACACGCACTGCATATCCACGCAGTGCAATGCAATGCAACGCAACAGGGCGCAATGCGTCACGTGGCAGCGCCGTGGGAGCCGAGCAAACAAAAAGATGCCACGACGACCACGATGACGAGGTCCAGGGAGGCGAACAAAACTACTATCCTATCCTCTTCCTCGTACTTTTCCTCCTTCCTCCTCCCTACTTCCTCGATCCTCCCTCCTCCATCCCCCTTCCTCCCCCTCCCCTCCCCTCCTCCTCCCTCCCCCATCCTCACTGCAACGCAATGTACTTCTCCTCCCTCCTCCCCCTCCCCTCCCCTCCTCCTCCTCCTCCTTCTCCTCCTCCTCACTCCTCCCCCCTCTCCACCACATCTGGCGTGGCATCTCGGAACCCCGAATTGCGAGGATGTCTCAAGCGAGAGGCGCCCGACCACCTCGCGCATATTTTCTCAGAGCTTAGAGTTGCGAGGATGTTTCAGGCGAAACGAGCTGGACAACCTCGCACACGTCTTCAAGGAGCCAGGAGTTGCGAGGACATGTCAGGCGAAACGGGCCGGACCACCTCGCGCGCAGCATCTCGGAGCCCCGAATTGCGAGGATGTCTGAGCTTAACCCTCTCGCCCTCACCTTCTACGCTTCGATCCATCTGCTGTATTTCCCGGGTTCGGCGCGTCCCGCGGTTCCCGGGTTCGTGTCTCGGTTTCCGTGGGTCGCGCTTTTTCGTTTTGGGGTTTGCGCTCCCGTTTCCCGAGTTGAGCTCGCTTCCCCGGGTCAGGGTTTTTTTGAGGGCCGAGGCCCCTGGCGGATCGATCCCCTCGTTATGCCAAAGTGCCACACTTTATACATCGCGACAACCACTTGACCAAAATGAGCGAGAACTACTATTGAGCAGCCCAATTACTCAAACAATTTTTCGCGCGCGCCAATTTACGTTCACCCGGTTTTAATTCGCCCGGTTTCCATTCATCCAGTTTTAGTTCGCCCGGCTTAAATTCATCCAGATCTCATTCGCCCATTTTAAAATTCATCCCGTTTTAATTCGTCCATTTAAATTCACCTGGTTTTAAGCCGTCCGTTTCAAATCATTTGGTTTTAATTCGCCTATTGGAACTCATGCGGTTTTAATTTGTCCGATTTCACTTCATCCGGTTTCACTTCATGTGGTTTTAATTCGTTCGTTTAAATTCATTTGGTTTTAATTCGCCCGTTGATGAAATTGAACCGGTTTCAAATCATCCTGTTTCAATTCATCCGGTTTTGATTTGCCCGGTTTAAATTCAGCCGGTTTCAATTCGCCCGATTTGAATATATCCAGTTTTCATCCCCCCAGTTTTCACGCGACTCGCCCAAAGCAAGAGTGG